AAAGGATTCGGTGTGTCTTGTCGTTGTCAAGTATCATTTCGGGAATAAATGTTTAACCTGGAGTTTAGAAGATGAAAATTTATGCAAAATAAAACGTCTGTTGCTTGTACTAAAGTGTTCTTTACTAGAAAAAAAATGGGATACTTCTTTTACTTTTATCGATGTTCTTTTATAGAATAGGAATAATCTGTTGCTGGGTAACTGAATATTCTATTGTAAGAAAAAAAAGGATGATCTCTTGATCTTCCTGGATATTCTCTTATAAAACATAACGATTTCCTTGCCTTTCTTAAATATTCTTTTATTAAAAAAATAATGATTCTCTTGCCTTGCCTCCATATTCGATTGTATTTTGTAGACTTATTTCAATATTCACTTCAGGAAAGGTGTGTTTATTGTCCATTATCCTAAAAACAAATGCTTCTATTATCTACTTGACTATTCTTTCCTAAAATAAGAATGTTTTGTTTCTTGTAATTGAATATTATTTTGTAAAATAAATTATTTCTACTGTCTATTCTTTATGATTATTGTAAAAAGAGATGCTTCTGTTCTTTCCATCAAAAATTTTTCTTGTCTCTTAAATACAGTCGAATCTCGAATAAGGACCACCTCTAAAAACAGCAGCCATTTTTTTAGAGATTTTTTTTAACCAAAAATGCATACAAAATAATCTCCTAAGGATGGCCATTTATTTTAATGTTCCCGTCAGTAACCGTAGTTCAGAGATTTGACTATTTTAATGTAAATAAGTAACATTGCGCTGTCATCCTTCAATATACTTTTGTGAATAAAGTGCTAATTTTGTGGCCTTGTCTATATATTTTAATATAAAAAGAGAATATTCTATCGTCCTCTTTGAATATTCCTCTGTAAAATAGAATAATTTTATTGCTCTGTTCGAACATATTCTGTTAAAAAAAAGGCTGATTTCTTTATTCATCATTGAATATTCTGTTTAAAAAAGGCTGATTTCCTGATTCATCATTGAATATTCTGTTAAAAAAGGCTGATTTCATGATTCATCATTGAATATTCTGCTTAAAAAAGGCTGATTTCATGATTCATCATTGAATATTCTGCTTAAAAAAGGCTGATTTCATGATTCATCATTGAATATTCTGTTTAAAAAAGGCTGATTTCCTGATTCATCATTGAATATTCTGTTTAAAAAAGGCTGATTTCCTGATTCATCATTGAATATTCTGTTTAAAAAAGGCTGATTTCCTGATTCATCATTGAATATTCTGTTTAAAAAAACGGCCGATTTCCTTACTTATTATTGAATATTCTGTTAAAAACAAGCCGCCTATTTGTTACATTTTCTCGAGCATTCTTTTATATAAAAGGGCCCATTCTTATAGTCTGTACTTAAATGTTACTTCATAAAAAAAAAAAATCTTTTCCCTTTATCCCATATTAAAATTATAATTAAAATTTTAGCATTTAAATTCTGTTTATCATCAAATTCCCTCACTTAACTTAACACTCAAATTACTTCATTAATTATCATAGCGAAGGTCGCAGAAGTTAGAGAGATTTTTCATTAGATAAATTTTAATGAAAGAACTCATTGGAAAAATGCTTAGAAATACGTCACGTGACGGGTGCTTTATAAGAGAGGGGAGGAGGGATAGGATGAAAATAAAAGAAGCAATGGAAATGTCCCTTAAATGCTAAACACTCGAGTCTCAGATTAAATAGAAATTCTAAAAAAAAATGCAAAACGATCTATTTTTTTTTATTACTTTACAGCTCGAAATACGTAGGGGTGGCCCAAATGTCAGTTAACCGAGAAGCGCAAATTTTTTTTTCCCCAATATTTCTCGCTATTCGTACTGTTCCTAATAATTATTTTAAAATATATTATCTCGGTTAACTGATTTTTAGGCAAACTTATAACGGTTAGGAAGAATAATAAATTCAAATCGTTAATAGACTTTTGGCCACCCTCTACGTATTTTAAGTAACGAAATAATAAAATAAATTATAACTCAAGATATATTTATTTTTATATATAGATATAAACATTAAAATCGAGCTGTTTGTTGTAATTAGTAACATATAGTTTAGTTAAGTGAGTTTTGGACCATCCCTGTAATAGAATTCCAGCTGATAGAAGCTTATGTTCTTGATAGGATCGGCACATTTCCCCCCCTTTTTTTATAAAAAAAAACAACCCTAAAAATTGAAAGTAATGTTGTAGAATATATCAGACAAGGTTGTAGATAATCTAGAGCAGTTAGAAAAGCTAAAAAAAAATAAGTAAAGGGCGAGAGAGACAGAGAAGAAGGAAAAAAATATTCAGCAGCAGTCCAGTCAAATTGTCATTCGTCATTTTTATTTCTCTATAACAAAGACAAATGACCGTTTTACGAGGTTGAAAGATATTTTTTTCTTCTTCTTCTTCCTCCTTTCTTCTTCTTCTTCTTATTGAAAGAATCGAATTGCCTAAATTGCAATTCTGCTAAACGGCCCATTTACTTGAATTCTACATTCCCCCTTCCCTCCTCCTATTTCCTTATGCTACATATTAATATCCTTATGGAAGTAACTTTTAATAACGGCTTTCGAGTCTGCATATACTTTTTCCCCTACTTTAATTACATCTAAATGGTTTTTTTTTCTATTCTTTGTTCTTGCTGACACACAACAAAGTCATTTAGATTAAATAAAAATATCAAGTAAACATGACATTAAGTATACACTTCATTGCTTAATATTGTCTAAAATCTCTTGCTCGTAGAATAATTTGATGTGACATCACACTACATTCTGCGTAGTGAATTGTTTTGTGTAAATACAACGTCTTGTCACGTCACAAACGTCACGAGAAGACACAACGCAAATATTTCGAACGTAAATTAAGCCATTTGTAATTAGAAACGACTCTAAATTCAATTTTTTTTAAATATTATACATCCGTTTAAGGTATTAAATCTGATTTATAGAGCGATATTTCGCATTTAAATTGTTTTATACTTAAAAACTTATGTAACTTTAGTATGATCTGTGTATTGCTCCATGAATATTTGTGTCCAAACTCTCAGAAACACGGCATATACATGAAAACAATCATTTAAATATACAGGAAACACGCACAAAGAAATTCAAAAATTGCGTACATACGCAGACACAGCCAGACACACGAACTTGCAGCTATCAAATTGTGTTCAGGACACCTTAAAATATATGTTGCAATCGACATCGATTTTTCTAACCCACAAAAACAATACTTTCTCCGCATCACTCTGTTGCATGATATTATAAAGAAAATAAAAAGGAATTTTCAATTTTCTAAACTCAAACAACTTTGTATTGTTAACAACAATATACCGATGCTGTATGTAAACACGCCTGTACATTAACTCCCTCTCTCTGCATACGAAATTATACAAATCCATTACGTTTTACGCATATTGATAAATATCGGAATTACATATTAATAGTATACACTCTCTTGGAATCTGTATCGAGCAAAAGCTTGTAAACAACACAAAGGATCAAAGGATCATCGTGAAACACGTCTATAATAGAAACGGTATGAGACAATACTGCCAAGAAATTACGGTGTTAATTACACTAAAAATAGAAATGCCAAAATATTTATATGTACTGTACATTCTAAAGCCTGATGTACAGCTTAAAGTCTTACATTACGAGGCCACACACCACGAGGGATTCACACTACGAAGATACAGCTTACTGCAACACAGAATATCACACTGCAACTCAAGGATTCACAGCCTCATAATACGAGGATACGTGTTATGGCACTATATTACGAGACCACAGCTATAGGCCTTACACTTCTAGAATCTTAAATATTCACTGTCATCTATAACAATTCAAAAAGTATGTACGAACAATTAATTGAAGGAGTAATGGAGCTATTTACACGGGCTTTAATCTAAGCTAGAAATTGTTACTGCAGTAGCATATTTTGGATTCGACATCGTAAAGAATTCGCGCTCTATCGCCATAAGAATAGCGTGTAAAGTTGGAAAAGCGTGACAGGAACTCAAATTCCGTTAACAGAATGCAATCCTAGATCCTACGTTGTTATCGGAGAAGCTTGAATGAATTTAATATATAAAAAAAAAACGAAAACTATTTCCTGAATTCGAAATATAACGCTTTCGTATAAAATGTTTTCTTCGACGAGGAAATTCGACAATAGTTTCAAATTCATAATTTCAAAATTGAAATTAACCAATAGCTGTTCGCGTAGATGTGACGTAACGAATGGCTTTTTAATCATTTGATAACGGTAGATTAGCGCCACTTAAACGTTAAAAACATTTTTATATATGATCTCTATGATAATTTAAATTTTTTTTTAAATTTAAAACATTCGATAATTTTCAAAAATTCTTTTTGATATTAAACATTTTTTTTCCTCGACGTTTTGATGGAAAAGGAAAAAAGTGATTTTATTTCACATGCCATTACAAAAAGACGGCACCTAATTTGAACTCATGCCAAACCACGTGTCCTTCCATCATTTACAGAATGGAATTTGTACGGCAGCGGTTACCGATATTTTAAGGATCAACATATGTTCATTCAGTTCAAACAATGCTTTTTTATTTTTTATTTTTTTTTAAATATTCTTTTCAATTCGTAACTTAACTAATATTTTTATACGAAGCTAATTCGTAATATATTCTTTATTTTAAAAAATAAATGCAATTACTTTTATTACTTTTATATTAAAGCATTAAAATATTTAATACATAAACAATTTAGTTACGAAAAAAAATATTCAAATTTCCAAAGAATTAATCCCATAATTCCACTAGATGGAATTCTAAAGCAGACGATTAAGAAATTAGTAATAAAAAAAAAATTGATTGCAGATTATTCCAATTTATTAATCATTTAATTTAATTAACATTAATTAAATTAAAAGTATTTATTTGTAAATAAATTAAATTAATATTTTAATTATTATTATTATTACTTTTTTTTTTTTAAATGTTAAAACATCAATCCCATAATTCCAAACGAGCGAGAGTAAAAGCAGACGACAAAACGAGCGCCATATTGAAAATTTTTTTTTTAGTTTGCATTAATTAAGAATTATTATAATATTTTCGACGCTGGAACATTTCCGAAAGCGTATAACAAGTAAGAATGATAATGATTTAGCTAGAAATTAAGAAAAAAATCGATGCAAATTTAATAACAAGTGAAATTGCTTTTAATTTAGTGTTAAACAGAATAATGCCAGAAGTAAATGAATAAATGTTGTTAAATACGGGTTAAGACAACATCGATAAAATATTATATAAGGATTAGATTAAGCTTATAAACACTTTTATCCGGATTACATTGGATTGACATAAGCAGAGGTGAGTTAAACCAATCTCCAATTTATCACATTTCTCGCCATTTTCCAATACAATTTCTCCTCCCATTGGATATATACTTCTAAACACGTCCAATTTGAAATATATTAACATAAACAAAGCTATATAATTTCCATGAAATACAAAACAATAAATATAAACCATTTATTTGATTATTATAACGTTCTACACACACACATACAACGTATAAAACAAATTACAATGATTTTAAACATGTTAAAATGTCAAATTAAATTAAATATACTACATTAAAACGTTTTGTTGAGTTAAAAATATTATAAATGAAGGAAATAAAGGTTTTAATAAGGTAGAGTTGCTATTCTAGAACTCATTATATCAGCCATTCTGTATAAACAGCTAAAGTATTTAATACTTTGCTTAGTTTTGGTTTATTGGCACAAGAGAGCAAACTATGCCAAGTAACTGATAAATTTTGACATGAAATACACTTTCCTTATTAGCAGTAAATATAAAATCATGCATTTGATAGCATTAGTGTATTAACAACATTGAAATTCTTATAAAGGTATTGGAATGATACATATACAGAACGATTGATGGTTAGTGACAAGGTCAGTTTTTTTATTAAATGTGAATAAATCATTTTGTAAAATAACCAATATATGTATCATTAAAAATAGTATAATAATCATCACAGTTTTTATAGGAATATAAATAGAAAGTTAAGCTAAAACTGTCGTATAAATAAAGCTCTGTAAAGCTTAAAATGTAACGTAATGAAGTTTAAAATTCCGCTTTAATTTTAAAAATACAAAAGATATAATTCAATTAAAAGAGTTTCGTGTTAAAAAATAAACATGATATGCCGGAATCGTTACATCACTCACAAAATTTTAATTATTTATTGACTACAAAAGAAAAACTTAACACATTTCTAAACATTGCTTTCTTGAAACATTTTTTTCACATTTACATTAATTTAAATAAAGAATAAAGTTTGTTAATTTTATTGAACGTTGTTAAACAAAACATTTTCTTTTAAATTTATAACTAAATTGTAATTAAATATATATATTCATAACACATCTCTTCATTAAAAAATTTATGAATTTATAACAACGTTAAGTAGATATTACGCAATTTTCTGTCATGTTGCAAATAACGTTAATGTTTTTTTTTCTTAATTGAAGACAGGAAAATAATTTTAATATTTAACTTTAAAGCTAAACGAATTTTTTTTAAGCGAAACGCATACATTTACATTATCTCTCTCTCATTATTTTTACATTATGTATAAGGAAACTAATTATTACCGTTTATTTATAATATGTAAAAAAAAATCATAACAAACACTTGATGAATATATAATATTAAAAAGAATCATTGTAAAATCTAAAAAAAAAAAATCTGAATAATATATAAATCCAAACACCATTGTGGTGAATCTAACCTAGAGATTAATGATTTTTACATTAAACAAAACTATGCAGTAAACACTTGATGAATTTATAAATACCTCAAATGACATTTAGACGTTTAGAAAAAAGCACGTAAAGACGGTATTTGGAGATGTGACTTTTTTCAAATATTGTTTATTCATCTACAAGACTATCAATTGATGGATGAAGCTAATTACTAACAATTTCATCTGACATTGTGGGAAATCGTTCAATGATGTCACCACTCTAAAGAAGTCTTTCACATGCAGACAGAATTTGAATAATAAATCGTACTAAGACATTTTAATTTTCAGTTTTAAAAAATATTTAAATATATATGTATATATATAAAAGGTAATACTATGTTTTTAGGTTAATCATGTGCGCTATTCTTTTATCCATTCAAATTGGATATAACTCGTATGACCCAAATTATATATCGAACTGGACTCGTTACGTATAAACGAAATAATAATAATAATAATAATATAAAATAATTTACATAAAATTTTTAATGTAATTTCTTTCCATTAATTTTCTAACGTGCTCATTAACACTTAACACCTTGCCTAATCGTTGGTCTGCTAATTCGATTTTTGAAGCACGATTTAAAAGATAAAATAAACAAATAAATAAACAATTACACTTCTTATCGTTGTTAAGGAATTAAAAAGACAGCTTATAGTTTTCAACGATAAATAATACTTACGTCATCCCATTTGACGAATTTATTACCCGATAATAGCCTTTCTGTGACGTGTATGGGTTTGAGTTGTACGACGTGAACACCAGATTTAGCCCCAGCCATATTCCAACATGTGGGGAAGGAACGGACGACTAAACAACACACTTAAACGCAAGTCTGGATGTCGACCACCTCAACTATCCCTTCTCTTCTCGAAACAGCTCCCTCTGTAGTGCATTTAATTCCCTAACTTCTCTCCATCTCCAGGAAAAATAGAAATAAAAGCATAAATATAAATATAAACGATCGATGAGATTTATTAATTAGTCATTTTCCTCGCTTTAACCTAGTTCCATTTACGTCATTTTTCTTAACGCAGTCGACTTTACGTTGCATATTTTTTTTTATTTTTTTCTCCCTGTATGACGACATTTGATGTTTATTTAGTGTGACGTCAGTGATGTTGTGTTGTCGCTCTTTTTTTTTTCTTTTCAGTCGGTTTTTTTCTGCTTGTCGACATCTCTATTTCCGCCACGTTGAAATCATTCCTCTCATCGGGATTTCGGGCGATATCCATTCTCTTAAGTAACCTGATTGCGTCTAAACAATAATATATGTGTTTAATTACACTAAATTCATTTTATTATTGTTTAAGTTGAGAAATTTAAATCTTTTTTTTTTTCGCTTCTTTCCTCCAACCAGTGTTCGTATTACATTCTTTTCTTCCCCTCTTATTTTAAATTGAAGTAAAATGGCGTCTAGTTCTGTGACGACATTCAACTTTTGTAATTAATTAATAAAATGAATTTTCTATTGTGACGTCATCGTGCAGGCTATTCTATTGTCATTTTAATTTGTAGACACAAATATATAGCTTATTTTAATGCTTTTTTTTTATTTGGATTTTAACACTTGATAGGATTTCGGTTTTGTTTTCCTGTTTGTAAATTCTTAAATTAGACACAGAAATAATTAAATAATAATTTTAATTTTCCTTAATATGTAAATTTATAATTATGAATTATTATAATACTTTAGTGTAGTTAAATATGTGAATAAAGTCGAATAGTGTGCTTAATATCTCTTGGAATATTTAAAAAAATAGATAGACTATTTTATAAATGATTAAATATTATTTGTTTTATATTAAAAGATTTAATTATTCCGTAATTTTTTGAGAAAATATTTAAAAATTAATAAGGTCTATATTAATTTTATTTAAAAACATTTATTATTAATAAATATATGAAAATCAATTTACGATATCTTTATCAAGAGATGGCGCCAATATATTTTTTATTTATTTATTTTTTGTTTTTTTTTTAAATTGAAATTAACTTGTAAGACAATATCTTAAAATCAATTATTTTATTTCCCTATTTTTCTAATTTAGAAAGTTTTGATTAATATTTAATTAATGAAATTAATTAATGACATTTAACGAGTGGCGTCATCTAGTGATCGTAAATATACACGTTTTAATGCTTTATTTTCAATGGTTTTTCATAAATAATCAATTATTATAAACAAAAGTTAAATAATTGATATTAAGTATTTTAAATCATGGAGAAAGCTTTGAATGCGATTTAATTATTCATTTTTAGTGCATTTATTGTAAATTTAGCCAATTTATATTCTTATTGTATTATTAAGAGGCATATGTTACATATTGTTATACTTAATAGATTTATTTAGGTTAATCAATAAGCTTCTATTGCATAATAACATCGATCCATACGCTATATTGGGCAGCTCAATATCTGTGTTCGATATTTCGAGAGATTAAATAACACGTGTTGTTCTAAATTATATTTTGTATACGAAAATTAAAGCTTCATCCGTGTTTTGCTCATAAAACCTATACGAATTCAAATTTTAATGCTTGGCACGTGCAACAGATGGCAGCAGCCGTCTACATTGTTTTTTTTTTATTGTTGCGTCATAGTTAATACGGTTTTTTTTAAAATAGCGCAATTTACGTAATCACGTGATTATACAATTTCGTTATAAGAATATTCTTAAAAAAAAAAAAATAATAATAATAATAATCTTTGAGCTTACAATGCCTTAAATATATATAATAATAATAAAGTTTATTTTAATTATCATTAATTGTTAAAATTTATCGGGAGAATAACGACTTAATTAAATTGTTAAATAAATTCGAACAAAAGTAATTTTTTTTAATTCACGTTTTTACCGCACGGCGTCGCTCCAGTTTGAGGAAGCCAATATGGCGCTGCCCGTAGTAAGCAAGATGAAATTGTTTTGTAGTTTAAATAAAATTGGAATGCGTTTCCTTTCCACTTCTAATGCTTTACGATTAAAAGAGAGTAAGTAGATGCTAAATTTCACTCTAATTATTCGATATATCAGTCGATTTTAGCTGGTTAAGCTAGTTTAATTGACATGCCGAAGTGTCTTCCGGCTACGTACCAAAGCGTTAGTTAACAATTCGCAATGTTTTTTAAATATTACAGTTGTACATACAGAACAGGAAAACATGACAGTAATCGAAGCAGTAAAAGTAAAATCGCCGAGAGAAGGTAAAGTTTTGAAGGCCATGACCGATTCCAAAGCGTGCCCATTATGTAAATTAGGATTAAAAAATATCAAGCATACAGTAAGTAATGAAATATTTACGTTGATAACGTTACTCGGATGATCGGAATCGTAAAAAAATATTCTTTAAATTACGTAAGGATGTGTTGATCTTGAGCCAATTCATTGCGTCGGACGGATCCGTACTTCCACCTAAAGTGACAGGATTATGCGGGCGACAGCATCGAAAAATTTGCATTCTAGTCAACCAGGCGCAGAAAGCAGGTTGGTAACGTTTCAGAATTAGGTAATTTCCAGGAATAGCTAATTAAATAAATGCGATTTTATTTGCAGGTCTCATGCCGACACCCGTTGTAGAATCGAAAGAACCGTGGGAATTAAATAACATTTACTTCAAAACTGCTCTTTAATTAATATTTTTAGCCCTTTATTATTGTAATTTGTTGTTTGTACATTAAATTATTTACCTTATTTTATTTCATTCTTCGAGTTTGTTGATTTTTTGGATTATATTTGTTTTATATTACTTCCATGTGTAGAGTTTCTTTTGATTATTAACATTTAGAGAAGTAATTTTCAGTAAGGTCAAAGCTGATGTCATAATTGTTTCCACAGACCCAGTCTCCATAAATAGCCTAGCCCAGGATTTCCGAACAGGGTATTGACCCTTTAGGGATCAATACAACTTTGCAAATATAAAAACTATTTAACAATATTAAAATTATGTTAAAAGGCTATAGAATATATACTAATATAATATTGAAGGGGATCAAAGGTTGGGAACCCTTGGACTAGCCCAATGGTATTTGGAGTGGCAGTTTTCAGTTTCAAGAAAACACTACATGATGGCATGTAATGTTTCAAAAGAACATATTATTATATTAACTGTTATACCATTATAGTATATACTAGTCTAAACACACATACATTGAGTTGATTCAAATGTAATTGGCTCCTAAAATAAAAAAAAATTGCTGGTCCACCATCTCTGATTCAAGCACCAGTTTATCCTAAGAATGGCTTAAATCATCCTCTACATCAGCTAATCTTTTTCTTTGGCTTATTGTTCACATAAACCACGTCGTAGTTTTGAATTGTGGTTTGGATCCAACTACGTGTTTGAAAATTCCATTGAGGTGAATGTAATGTTTTAACATTGAAACCAAGATAAGAGGTTTCTGAAAGAAACAACACAGATCAGTTTTATTTTTATTTATTGTGCTAAAAGTTTCATTTTCAGATCTGATCAACAATTTTCTGCACCCATAAAAACATGATTATATATATATATTTTTTTTTTACATGCTAGAATTACTAAAAAACGTTTTGATTTCTGTTATGTTAACCCATTCGCTTACCCATCCGTTCTGCAATTTCTGGTCTCGTCTCTTCGGACGTTTAGAGGTGCTTGTGGTTTAGGTGGAAATTAAAAAATATATATGTATATACAGTCATGCATTGTTTCGAGTTTCTTTCTGGCAGATAAACATAAGATAAATTGGCAAAATGAAGGTGTGATGACTTTTTTTAAAAGTTTTGAACTTAGCACGGTAAGCAGATGGGTTAAGATACAATTATCAATTTTTAATTATTACATTAGAAAAAGGTAGTTTTGTAAATTATAATAAAAACTGCAAAAAATATTTTGACATTTGCTTGCAAAAATTTATTTATATTTTTAAAATAATTTTTAAAAAGAAATAGAAATATATTTAACACATATCAAAAGCTTTTTTTTTTCCTCGTTGGAAATATTAAAAATGTACTCGTTAACCCATTACAAAGTATTTATATTTAGAACTTTGAAAATTTGGCAGTGGGTTTTTATATTCTTTGCCTCATTTCGTATTTGATATAAAAAAAAATTTAAGGTGGAACAGAAAGAATAGCTTTCGATAACATGCTTGAGTATCTAAAGTATAAAAATTTAAAACGGCAGAAGCGGTTTAGTAAATTTACTCATGATCAAATCCGATTGTACTTCACGCTGCTAGCAGCTAAAACGGTTAATTTATTAATAAATATTTTTTTTTTTTTTTTGTGGGAGAGAAACAAAAGTCATTTGCATTTGGCGTCTAAGGCAAGAACTACTTGCATTCGATTACGAGAACATATTGCAATAAATACTGTCTGTACTGTGCGTAGTTGTTTCAACATCAATATTCTATTGCAATCATTGTCTAGTAAACCAGCACTAAAGCAATTGCTATCTTCTATAATCTATCATGTGAATATTTTAATAAGTCAGTTATGCACTAAAATTTTACAAACATCACTAAATTGTTTTAAATTTAATTCGTGCAATTGCCAGTTTCAGAGCATGTTCAAAATGGCACAAAAGTGGGGGAAAATGTGTACCGAATCAATCTTTAAAGTATGAAAAGTTTAAAAACAATACTTAAAAGCCTTTATGAAGATCTTCATTCTAAGTTCTGCTTACTGACAAGCGCGCCAATAAACAAAACTTTTCGAATCACCGGATGTTCTAAATTAACGAATCTAACAAATTCAGAATACATACCCAAACCATTATACATCTAATGATTATTAACACAATACCAAATTTTGGCCTCAAATATTTTTTGGGGGGATTTTTTTTTCTTTTTTTCAATAAAAACGACTAGGTAGAAATATTGCTACTCTAGCATGGAAATTTCCTATTTCAGATATTCTGATTTGTTGGTTTTTTTTGTTTAAACCTATGAGAATTTCACTTACAAACATGCAAAATGATATGTGAAATACATGAACATATACAGTGCATCCCTGAACGAGAACTAAAAACAGAAATGGCTTTATGCTGCTGTCGACTTGGATCGATTGGGTAGTTTTCCAAATTTCTTCATTCACAGAGTCTTGGCTCTTTGTAATAATTCAGCAATGAATTTCTGTAAAAATAAAATAACAAAGTATTAAGATTTAATTAGCTACTCAAAGAATTTATTACAGCAACTATTTTAAAAATTGGTCATGTAATTTGTATTCTTAAGTAATACAAAGTGCAATTTAGTGCTATAATCAGAAGAAAAGATTTAGCGGTAATGTACTCATAAATGGAATATTGCAAAACCAAATTGCTTTGAAAGACAGAATTTAAATAAATTATGGATGATGATAGTGAATCACTAATTTTAAAGCAAAATTGTCAAGAGCAATAAAAATTCAAGTGTAACTCAATATGGAAACAGAATTTCAATGTGAAATTAACTTGATTAGTATGATAAAGACACAACATATTGTGTATTGTTAAACATACTGAATGTTAGTAGAATTAGATTTATTTGACAAGTCAGTAATTCTCTTGTTGCTATTTATCATCATATTGCTATTTACAATGACTGAAACCTCTCATTTACTATAAAATTTATTTTAAAAACAGTTTTTATCATTGGACTTTAAAGCTTACAGATTATAAATCTTGTAAAGTAAATATTGTTTTCATTCATATAATTTCTATTAAATAAATAACATTAATATAATATATTGAAAATAATTTTATAATACAATTATCAGCTCAAATATCACTTAATAAGGTATAAATGTAAAATAATAAACAAAAAATTGAATCTAAAAATAGCATTTTGACTAATTATTATTAATCATGCTAGCTAATTAAAAATATCTTAACAACATAAATAAAATGCAGCATGTAGTCAACACATGCAACTATGCTTCTTGCATAATTAAAAAAAAAATGTCCACTTGCTTGCCTAAATGTATTTTGTACATTTTTAATAGATCATATTTATAATTTACTTATGATATATTTTAAAAAAACTTTAAATAAATGAATTATTATTTACAAAGTTGATAAATTTAAAAAGGAATTTAAATGTGCCAACACCAGTTATTTTTAAATAGAAGTATGTTGCCAAAAACGTGGATTTACATAATGGTTTTTTTTTTAAGCTTTTCATAAAATATTTTCTATTATTTTGCTCTCTTTTCTACTAAAATTGTAAATATTATTTGCATATGAATATGAATATTGTAAAATGCTTCCAAGTCTGAAAATACAACATTCTTAACAGCAGTATTGTTGCCAATATGAAAGTGGATACATTTTCATTGTGAACTAACACATCCAAGAATGATTCGCATGAATAAATTCGGCAAAGATACACATTTTTAGCCTTAAGTTGACTTACATGTGCAAAAATAATAAAATTTTTACAAATCTTAATAATAACAAATTTATCGTGATATAAATTGGAAAATTGAATAATAAAGAAAAAATTCAGTTGCGCACTTAGATTTAAAAAAAAATCATAAAACATTAATTGATATGTTTCATGTGTGTGTCACAATGCCAAGAGGAAAGAACATTGTCTTTTGGAAATAATGAAGATGTGCTTCATTAAATCTTGTAACAATGCCATATCGGAGACTAGATTATACGTTAACAAAGTAGTAGTAGTCAAAAGTATACTTGAAGATATTGAATATGTCAATGACATGCATTTGAAGCTGTTCATGAAACAGATGATATCAAGCGTGTTAAAATTAATAGAAGAATTATGTATGAGGAACAAAAGACAATGTAATGTATAACCGATGCAGAACAAAGAATAGGTGAAAGTCAAGCAAAATCTTTTTTCTTTTTGGAATGAACACCTTGAGAAGAGGAAAACTATTCAATTCCACAAATGAAAAAGTTTTATTTAATTTTCTTCTTTTACTATTTTTGTAATGAAAATATTCTTTTAATTACATATGATATAGTATTTTAAAGTGATAAGGAAGAAGAAAGAATGATAATGAAAGTGAAAAAAGAACAGTATAAGAATAAAAAGAGAACATGATAAAATGTAATCAAGGAAATATATTTTTAGATATTGTTTTTTTATTGTATTTATTCAGGTAATGATATTTTATGTATATGTATGCAATTAATAGGAACAGAATCTTTGTCATAATTTCAAGTATATTACATATTTAATATTTCAAATGGCAATGTTGGAAAATCTTTTCAAAGTAGCATAAAATCATCTACTGGTTTAAATAATCCAATTTCAAGAAAATTCTTTAAAAAGGTTGCATTTTTATAAGCATATAATCTGTCTGGAGTTTTGCCAGGAAGCATGAATGGTCAAAAATTGCTGCAGTAGACTGACTGCATTTTATTTGAAAGTTTTAACAATAACTATAAAATGTCATACCTCAATAACTTCGGCTGGTTGCTTGGCACCTTCTAATTTAGTCTATTAGAAGAAAGAAAAATAAAATGAGTACTTTATCCAATAAGTACTTCTAAATGATTTTGATAATGCTCTGACTTACTCGTAACCAATCTCTTCTTTGAGAGTCACCCTCCAGATCCAATAATTCGTCTAGATCTATTTCTACATCATATGTTTGTGCATCATCCTACAATTTAATTAAAACATTACTATGAAAAGTAAGGAATGTTAATAAAAATTTGAAGGTAGACATTCAAAAATAAACTGAAAATTCAAAATGACGATGATAAATAAAAAAATAATTGCTGTCGTTAAGTAAATTTAAGTTTAAAACATTTCAATCGTAAAATATATATTTTTCAGAGTTAATTTAGAATATTGCATTTTAAAATACAATTAGGGATCTTTTTGTTACGTTTACAATTAGATGATCGATTCGGAAGAAAGAATCATCGGTTTAAATTTTGAGAACTTTTGCACCTGGGGTTATGATTCACTCACACAATGCATCTAACATCTCATTTAATCAGGTTATTACAAGTTCAGGGTGAGCTTCATAATAGAAAGCTACAAATCTGTATAATCGTCCATACCCCCAGGTGTGCAAATGATTAGTTTCTCGGGTATGAATGCTTTTCATTTTAGAATACTGGCAAAATTTTATGTAATTAAATTGTTTTAATTACTTTGTAATTCTTACCCTGCATCCATAGAGCAGCTGAAGCTGTTCGTACATCCACATTTCGACGCGAAGTCTCTTTCTTATTAAGCTCATCTGGTGCTGTCCATACTTGGCGGTTAAGTATTTTTTCTTTCTCTCGTGCACGTCTTCAGGGTCCGTGTCGAAGTTCACGTGAAGTACAGATTTGGAGGGAATGTGATCCGCTTGCATCGTTTTTATTGCTGAGGCTGTCGATTCTGTGTTATAAGTAGGGGGCAGACTACACTCCATACTTAGTACCTAGTGCACATTAAGTATGATTCTGAAACAAAAAATAAAAAATCATAACTGTTTTGGAAATAAATCAACACGGTGGTGAATGGGAACATAATGTGCAAAAAATGTAAATTATTTTATCGAAATTCATTTTTGCAACTCGACTGAAACTTGTTAGAGACTTATTATCTCTTTTTCTCCAGTTGTCAACATTTTATTAAATATTCATTCAAATTTTAGAAATTCCTGCAGCTGACAATACATTTACAGAACAATTTCTCTGGTTAGCTTTCACATCATTTTGAGTAACTTTTTTCTATTGTACAATATATTGTGTAAGAGATGAGAAAATGAGATTTTGCCCAGAGATAATAACTCTAACCATATTTATCAAAGTAAAGGAATTGCTTCTGATTGCTTTATTGTTCTATTCGAAATCATTCATATCATAATTAAGTTTCATTTGACATTTATTTCCACTTACCCCCGTAATGACTGTTTAACTATTGAGAAAATAAGAACAGAATAAAATTATTTATAATCAAGTCTTTACGTCAAGTTTGCTACTTAATATAACAATAAAACTTTAAATTTTAATTTGAATATTTTGAGTAAATACAATTAATTCTTTAACCTTAACAGACATAAACAAATTAAGATTAACATTAATTGTAATTTGTTTACATTTTAGATTCTTAGAAATCTGTTCTTTGTATTATTAAGTTTCATTTAAAAATAGCTATAAAATTATTTTAAAATTTAATTTGTAAAGAAAATTGATATTTTTGCAATGTTGAAAAATTAATTTACACAAACTCTGATTCAATTTTCAAAAACAATAAAACAAACAAGCTTTCCGATCAAAGATTTTACATAATTAAGTTAAAGAGCAAATAAAAAAATAAGCCAATTATTTAAATAGAAAAAAGCATTAATTTGTCTCATGTCAATGACACAAAAATGTCAATGCATATTTTCAATTTGTTAAAATTCCCATCCCATGTATTTAATTTGACATGTAATGGGTGTTTGACAGATAAAAATTTCATTCTTTTGACAATCTCGGAGTTATTTTAATCTAAAAGATAATCTAGAGAAAGTAATAGAACTGCAGCTGAAGTGTCTCAATGGGCATGCCAGACAGAAGTAGATAATCCTGTTATAAAATTCCGACAGTTAATTCACAGTAGGTCCTACGAAACAGACTGCCAATCGACGTTCGGGCACCGTCAAATGCTTGCGACGATTACTCACACTATTAAAATTTGTCAATCTCTGCCGAGTCATACCGGCTAAACAATAAAATATGACTTAATATACTATGCTTCTATGGATTTCTAGTTCAGCTTACTATTATAATTCTATTACCAAAGAAACTTTATTAAATTAGCTTTTGTTGGTTTGAATAAGTCATTTCTAAATCAAAAAAGCACCCATTAAGTTTATTTCTAACAAGTTAGAATTTCATGGTTCGTATCCTTACATTTTGACACAAGAGAATACAAAGCATTCCGTCATAAATTTTACCCTGTCGCTATAAAATTTATTATTGAAATCTCAATGTTTAATAGTGAAGATAAGATAAAATATGTATTGCCTAAGTATGCATTAAACAATATTAGTCATTAAAAATAAAACAGCTTTTATCATATTAAATTTCAAGCGTTATTCATGATCAATGGTAGTAGACATAACTGTAGAGTATTTATTTACAGTATCAAAGTCCAAGTTACTCAGAAGGCACCATATCTATAAAACTTCCTTCCTGCTTTAAAACAATTTAATAACAATTTTTATTGACGTTTTCTTAATTATATTTAGGAATTATAATATTTATAAACATACCTATTCATCTTTAGAATTTTAATTTGTCAGAAAATTTATTTTTATAAACTTATAAAACATATAAAAAAATTGATTTTAGAATTGTAAATAATTGATTATTGTGATTTTTAAAAATGAATGTAAAAAGCCTATATTATTCTTTACTTTAATCAATAAACATAATAATATATTGTTAATCTGATCATTACAAAATACTTCACATACGTGATAATCTAAACATGATTCTGCATTTTAAAAATCTATTGTAAGCTCGAAATTAATGCTAAAAATCATTCTCACATAAACTAATTACTAGAATTTAGCTATTTATTTCTATTCGCGAAAGACTACGTTCGACAATACACTTCTGTATTCGAAAATGAATATAAAGAGAATCTTTCTGTTTAAAAAAAAAAATATTAATTCTATCATATTTATTCCAGCATACATTTTAACAACAATCAATCATATAATAAAGGAGTTAATAAAAACAATTATTATAATCTAAATTAAACTAACCATTGTAAACTATATATATATACAGTCGACCCTCTATAACACTGTTGATTATTCTGTTTTATATGANGACGATAACATGTGACCGTAAACTCGCTTTATTGTTGTCTGTTATTGAATATATTTATGCGTTGTCTGTGAATTATATACATGTACAATACGAGATGTTTAGTTTGTTTCTAAATTTCGCTGTTTGAAATTTGTGTATGGGTTTGTTTGACGTTGGAATATTCGTGGGAAAGCATCACTAGGTTTAAAAATATCTTTGTAATGAGCTCGATTGTTTAGTCGGGAAGGTTATCCGAGTTCACATCTTACGACAGTCACAGGCCATTGAGCGATTGTCGATTGTAATAAGTATCCATTGTACTGTACGGTGACTCTGTGACTGATTTTTCAGTTTAGCCATCTTTCTTATAAGTTTTTCTTGTATCAATTATTTATAGTACATCGGTAATTCCACTCGATTTAGATCGTTATCTTTTCTTATTCGTTCGGATCGATCGTTTATACGATAATAAAATTACAAATTTTATTTTTTTATATATCGTATAAAATAAACCCGTTCGTTTTTCCTGCTAATTTTCTTAGAAAATTTCGCTTTGTTAAATCGGTTTTTATTGATTTACGATCGCGTTGAAATTGTTCCCGCATGGTTTCGAGATAGAGCAATTATAATATAAAAATAAAATAAAAGCTTTTACTTTACTTTATATATATATATATATATATATTTTTTTTTTTTTTTAAACTAGATTATATATACATCATTTAATTCTGGTGTAAATTAATCTCCCCCCTTGTAACAAATATTTCTGACGTCAGATATAAACTATAAACAGGAATTAAATTCAACAACATAGATTTACTTGTGTTACAATTTTAACTAAAGCATTTAATTAATTAAAAAAATCTTTTATATTACACAATTATGTCGAATTTCATTCCTATTTACAGTGAACATCATCGCCAACAATATCAGAAACTGAACGTGTATCATCAATTTCACTCATCATCATCATCATCAATGTCAGAAACAAGCAGCGAATGGATATTTTTAAAGATTATAAATTGGTTTATATTAAAATTCCAACTATGTATACGTGGAATTCAATTCCTAATTTTTTTTTTTTTTTGGAAGTGGTGAAGGGTGGGTCGCAACAACCTCCTCTTTTTTCAAGAGTGGAATTAATAGGAATACTTGGAACAAAACCGGTTGTTTACTTAGATTTAAAAATAAAATATCCATTCGCTTATTGTTTTTTTATTTAAAATTGTTCACTTTCTTTAACACGGACTTACCTGTTCTTTTGGAATTTTTTTTTTTCTCTCTCTCTCTCTCTTCCTTACTTTCCGTTTTCTGTGTTGAAAAAATTAATTCCGAACAAAAGACGACGTTAACCCTAGTTGTGATGTCACACACGGAACGTCGCCAGTTCGATTGTTTTAAGTATACACCATTCGGATAGCTTTTCTTTCGCAACTTACGACAGTTTTCTACGCTTAAATGTATTTGATTGTTTTATAGAAAAAAAAAAACGTTTAGGAGAGTAGAAATTCCGATCTTTTCCTCCTCATTCGTCTGCCCTGAAACGATCGACTGAAAAGATGCAGACGATCGCGCCTGCGCCCTACGCCGATCGATGATCGGGTTTGCTGACGTTTCGGTGACGTAAAAAATGGCGGCCGAAACGATTAAACTTTTTCCAGTTTTTTTTTTTTTTTGTTTATTTTTTTTTTTCACGGCCGAAAGTTAATAATAACACGATCGTCCGTATCATTATTTATAAGCAAATTTTGATCCAGTTCGTGTTTTTATTTTTTTTTTTTTACTTTTAGTTGCTGCGGGAACTAGTTGTGGCGGTTTGAAAAGTGGTGGGCATTACCACAATGGCGTCGTCTACTTTTAGAACATGGCTTTTTTTTTTGTTTTGTTTGTTTGTTTCTAAATTTCGCTGTTTGAAATTTGTGTATGGGTTTGTTTGACGTTGGAATATTCGTGGGAAAGCATCACTAGGTTTAAAAATATCTTTGTAATGAGCTCGATTGTTTAGTCGGGAAGGTTATCCGAGTTCACATCTTACGACAGTCACAGGCCATTGAGCGATTGTCGATTGTAATAAGTATCCATTGTACTGTACGGTGACTCTGTGACTGATTTTTCAGTTTAGCCATCTTTCTTATAAGTTTTTCTTGTATCAATTATTTATAGTACATCGGTAATTCCACTCGATTTAGATCGTTATCTTTTCTTATTCGTTCGGATCGATCGTTTATACGATAATAAAATTACAAATTTTATTTTTTTATATATCGTATAAAATAAACCCGTTCGTTTTTCCTGCTAATTTTCTTAGAAAATTTCGCTTTGTTAAATCGGTTTTTATTGATTTACGATCGCGTTGAAATTGTTCCCGCATGGTTTCGAGATAGAGCAATTATAATATAAAAATAAAATAAAAGCTTTTACTTTACTTTATATATATATATATATATATGGTAATTGGCCTATCTTGGGATTATTTGTATGATAATTTCATTTTAATTGCCACGTCAGTGTATTGAATTGTGAAAGAAGAATTAAGCATTCGGTAACACGAGATTAAGTGTTTTAATGGTAGTAATTTCGTGGTGAATTCGGTGCTTAATTCCGTATTTTTTTGTTTTAAATGCGGGATTAGTGAATAAATTCGTGTACGAATTAAAATTTGGAAATTATGATTAGCAACTTACCCGTATTCATTAAGCTTTGATTTTCATTTTCGGGTGCAAAGTTCGTGACGTAATAGATAAAAGTTCGTGTTTTTTTGGCGCTGAAAGTCGAGATTAACTGGAAATTTATCTAGAATAAACAACAGGTTAAAAGTTGGAATTAGAAATTTTTAAAATCAAGGTTAGATGCTTTAATAATAAATTCCTGCCGCATCAATTTTTCCTTTTAATTCTTATTTAAATTTACAATGTAACCAGCAAGATTGATTGAAATTTTTTTTTTCGTGTTTCGTTGAATCGGGATTAACAACAAATTTAATTTCGAAAAATACGTAATCTAAATGTTAAAAAGAGTAATCAAAGATAAATACTTTAATTAAAAATACTTTTGATTCTTTCTTAAATTTCTGTATAAAATTAATGGAATTCATTTAATGAGCGAAAGATAGGGCAAAATTTCAATGCATTTTATGAAAATACCAAGTTTGTTCCATGCTTAATTTTAAGGATTAAAAAATATATATATACATATTATTTTCTAAATTTCATAGGCTTTAATATTATAAAAACGATAGTATAATTTATCTGTCGATTATGTGCAGTGCGCATACAAAAACAGAGCCTAAAACATATGTACTCAGGCTGTAATTAAGGTCATAAATGTGGAAACCATTCCCATAAAAATTTAAGAATAAAATCAGTAAAATAAACTGAATTTATACCAATTAACGAAAAATTTTTCACATTATTATCAAGCTTTTTATATAAGAGATTGTTAAATTTTAAGGACCACTCTGTATTCAAATAAACATGCCAGCACTCCTTCTGTCTGGACATGTATATAAATGATCATAAATCCACATCCAAAATAAGAAATGCCCGAAATGAGATTCGAACCTACAACCTGACTTACAAGAAACAACGCATTTGGCGTCATGTTAACAAAAAAATCTAATTGTTTGGGTAGAAAAAACAGGACGGAGTTCAGATGTTTTCTGTTATGTTTTGAATAATTGGAACTGAATGTGACGTAATATCAAATAGCGCTTATTCTGTATATGACGCGTGAACGTGGGCACATTTGTTCTTCGAAAAAAAAATAATAATAATAATAATAATAGATACAGCTGTATTGCTGTGTTAGATTAGTCGTAAAATTTATATTCTTTCGAAAACATTGTTTCGCTATTGTATGAAATAGCTATAATAATCACAAATTTATGGCACAGAATACAATAAAAAGTATCATAAAAAAATATATCGAATCTTCTATAAATTGCATAGCATGAGAAATATGTTAAAATAAACCAAGCATTATTACTTACAAACATTAACTATTTTTAAACAGTAATTAATTTGATATACCTTAAACTTTGCTGCGGATATTAAAACGAATACCAGAACTGTATATTACTGTAATCAATTAATACAAGTAAACGTTTTAACGACTTTATAAACAATAGATAAATCAATACAAAAGGGTACAGTACACAAGTAAAGAATGCATGGTCATTAAGTAAATACGAGTGTAAAACTTGCTTTTACAAGTCGTAGTAATTTGACCGTGACCTATATTAATATTGGCAAAGAAAGTATCAATATATGTCTTCAGCCTACTTTACTGCATAGCAATGAAGGACGATAACATGTGACCGTAAACTCGCTTTATTGTTGTCTGTTATTGAATATATTTATGCGTTGTCTGTGAATTATATACATGTACAATACGAGATGTTTAAACTTATATAAAAATTGAACTAGATTTAAATCTTAGAAGATTACTAAATAGCTTGGCATTTGGCATGTTTCAACAGCTGTTAACATTTAAAATTAATGTAGTATAGAAGGAAAGAGATGATATCATAACCCTTTTCCCCTTTAAGAAAACTGGAATAAAAGATTAACACAATTTTCTCACTTGGTCGGACATTGTATGTAGTTCACTTCCTTCTTACAAAATCTATTCTCTTTTGTAAGTATTCCTATTATCATCTATTTAATTTCACGATTTTATAATTAAAAGGGACAATTCAAGGTCGTTACTTCCACTTGCGCCTGATTTTTTTTTCTCTCTTAAATTTCTTTTTTTAGTAAGTAGATTAATGTAACTTATTAGAGTGAAAAACCCCGTTGTAAGGTTATTATTATTATTATTAAGGCCATAATTTTATATAAATTGACAGGCGCCTATATTGTGTAACTAAATGCACTTAATATCGCAATTTAAGTATTTTAAAAATAAATAAGGTTGTATTAACGTGATTTAAAACTATATTAGCGGAATTCTGTCGTACGAAAAAAAAAAACTAACGCTAATTTTATAGATCTAATGGCAATACCCCGATTGTAATTTATGTAAAGATAATAGTGTAGGATGGATGAGATAATAAATATAATGTATGAGTTTTAATATATGCGTAGAGTCTGTTTCCTTATTAAGTAAGTTTATGCTACAGTAGATGTGGTTCTACAAGTTACTGTAGGATATAGATCTGCAGGAGATAGGGTATGAAGGATGTAAAAAATTATATTATCAGTTATCTATAATAAGTTATAATCATTTCAAAATTATAATTTATCTTTTTACTTTTCTAACAGAGAAGAAAATAAACGATTTACAAACTTTGAAGACGTTTATGTATGTATAATTATTTTATAGCATGTATATAGCATCCTAAACAGCATACAAATTAGTGTTTAGAAAAAAAAACCAAGTATGAAACATGGAAAACTCTTAATACACAATCTAGTATAAATTAAATACGGATTAAGTAACTGTAATTGATTTAAAATTAAATGTAAGTTTTACACTATTCCAAGCTCTATTTCTTTCTTACACCAGAAAACTTCAAGCATGTCCACTTCACTGAAATTCTCTACTTATTGTTTATCTAACATCCCCATTCTTTTTGCATCATAAACTTTACATATGTCCCCGCTTCCTATCAAAAACTTTTTCCAAACTGTTGTCGAGAGATAAAGCTTGAACATTACCACACAGGATAGCTTGTATAATACATATTCCTATTGTTATAATCCATCAAGTTAAAGACCTTTAGAATATATCATATCTAATTTAAAGAAATAAAAAAAAATACATAACATCTGGTACCCAAACTGTTACTAAAACAAATAACTTTTCTTATCGGTTGTTTAATTATAGAATTTTTCCTAAACAATATGCCGTGTATATTTAAAATAGTAACGTTTTTGTCGTTGAGTGATTAGATAGGGTCATGTGTTTCAGCTAGTAACACTCTTTGTAATTCGATATTACTTTATGTAAAAATGAAACAAAGAAAAAAAGAAAACCTCGATTATAGTTACTTAATCTTTTATAAATATTTCGACAAAATTCAACTGAAACAACCGACCTCAAGAAGGATTTAAAAAAAAAAAAAATCCATTTTAAATATGTTCAATGCGATCACATAAGGAAACGGATGTTTCAGAATAGATTTTTTTAAAAATGTTTTTAATGCAACAATCCACATCCGGAATTACATTATAAGGGTTATTTTTTTGTATCCGTTTTGACTTTTTAAGATTATCAATGATGCAATTCTGATTCTTGACTTTCGTGTCAAAACATTATCCTACAGTAACAACCGACCTCAAGAAGGATTTAAAAAAAAAAAAAAATCCATTTTAAATATGTTCAATGCGATCACATAAGGAAACGGATGTTTCAGAATAGATTTTTTTAAAAATGTTTTTAATGCAACAATCCACATCCGGAATTACATTATAAGGGTTATTTTTTNAATAATAATATTATTATTATTATTATCGAATAAATTAAAATAAAAGAGAGAATTGTTTTCTTGAGGGTATGGAACTGTCTCGTGTGTTTCATTCTTTGTTTAGTTAAAGAACGTACGTACATAAATATCGGTAATACTAGAAAGAGTGAACTGACGCTGCTAATCCTTCTAAGTAAAACATATTTCTTAATTAACTCTTCGCTTTTTTGTAAAAGTCGCAAATCGCCAACAAATTCACATTTTACACTGCTCTCCCTTCTCGTATAACTTAATATATCACTTCAGCTGCTTGCTAACATAACCACCCCGGTTTTTCGCTATCGTAAATCACTTTTTCCTTCATCTATAACTTATTACCAATTATAAAAAATAAAAAAACAGTAAAAATGCATTAAAAAATCTGATAACTACATTTTTCTTTTTGTTCGAGTTATCGATCACGATCGATCATCATCGCCCATTCCTATTGTTAAAGTAAAAAATATGTATATATATATATATTTCGAACACTGGAAATGAAGAACGACCTTGGTTTTAGTTGACCCAATTATAAATTTTCTGCCGCCTACTTCGTGTTATTCGACCAATTATTCCTCAATGTAGCGAGTTATTCTTTGTTATATCGTATTCTATTTCCTAAAATAAGACGGTAATAAATTTTACTTTTCGGTTTCCTTGAAAATGTTCGTTCGAGCGGGGACAACTCGGTAATTTCATGGTTATAAATGCTAAATTGATACAGTTAAATTGATTTAACACCTGTAAAATTTATCGCATTTAATTAATTAATGTATTTATATAACTTATCTGTTAAGTATTATGTTAATAACATAAAAAATTAAAATATTTCTTTGTAATAGCGATCGTTAATGTATCCTACTAGCCCTTCTATAGGCTATCTAGGTGTATACGTCTGCACTGGTTGTAGAGTGGCTCCAAAATCGTCTTGAACAAAGTTCCCTTCGCATAATTTCCTATCAAATCTCATCCTTTATTTCTAGTTCTATTTGTTAGTTTCATCATAAGTGAGAAATTCTAGCTTACTTGTAAACTAAAGAAAATTCTTAGACTACACATTTTATTTATTCGTCTTCCCATTTCTTAATTCATAAATACATTTGTATTGTATGATTTCTTGAGATTAAAACAGGCAAAATTAATGGATATTAGCGTGGATAACAGATATAATTCCCTGATATTAATAATAACCAAAATATATTTCTGTTTTAATTTATTTTAATTACATTTCAAGTATTCGAATTAAATTGAATTAAAGCATTAATTAAACTAATATTATTACAGATAAGGATGAATTATTATTATTATTATTATTATTATCGAATAAATTAAAATAAAAGAGAGAATT